CACACACACACACACACACCCACACACACACACACACTGATGTGGGTGTGATCCACATTCAGCCTCTCAGAAATACAGAAGTTTCTTATAGTCCAAGGACAGCAAACCTTTTTTTACAATTTAAAGTTGTCATTTCGATCCTGCATCATTCTTCCTCCTCAGAGTAAAATAAGCACAGATGAGTTGTTTGTTTTAATGTTTCATCTGCAGATGGAAACTGAGAACTAATGAGTTCACAAACCACAGGAAGCTTCTCGGATGTTTCAGCGCTGACACACATACGACCACACCGATGGGCTGGTTTTTAATTCACAGAATTTTAGCCTCCAGTTGTTGGCGAGTTAATGAACATTGAAATTGTAGGTTTACGCTCAGTGACTTGAGGATGATGAGAACGTGGGACGGTGCTGATCACTTCTGAAGTTCGGACTCATTTCAGTGTCAGATGTAACATGTTTACAGCTGTAGACTCACTGTGTGCAGCATTACTGTCAAATCTGAGGTCGCCGTGGAGATGAGGTTTGAGGGAAATGACACGATGGTATGAACATATGTAAACACATTCTCTGCAGTATCCAGTATCCAGTGAATATCCCAGGTTACTTTAATTATTTAGATTAAATTACATTTTTAAGCACAAAGTCTCGTGTCGTCCTCGTTCTTGACTGTTTGCTGTGTCACTCCTTCAGGCGGCAGGAGGCGTGCAGGAGATATTTTTTAAGACCTTGGATGATATGATTCATCACTATAAGAGGAAGAACCAGGGCCTGGCCATGCACCTGAGACACTCTGTGAAAAGGAAGACGGCCATGTTGATCCGCCCCCTAAGACCGCCTGAAGACCCGGGTGAAGAAGAGTCTGCCCATGCGAGTGCGTCCTATGTTTAAACCGATCTCTGGCTCTTTATCTCACAACTTCCTGTTTAATTTGTGGCGCGGTGCGTTTCATCTCTGGTTTTTCTCCTAGGTGTTTCGGACGCTGACTATGTTGAGGTCCTCCCTGAATGACTTCAACTTCAACACTTGAAAAAAGTGCAGAAGATGTTTTGGGGATAAACTGTCGTCACTTACAAAGAATCACAGACAACATGTGTGTCTCCTTGTTTAAGATTCTACGTGAAGGGGGAAACGACTTCACGGCTCATGACGTGAGAACATTTGCATCTGAAACATGCAAAATTACATGTGTATGGAAATTCTTGACCTGAGCAACAGCGCCCCCTGCAGCCACTCCTGGGGATTAATCCTGTCGGTTTGGTGTGGTTTTCATGGAGAGAAAAAACAAAGTCCCATGATCCTCTGCTTCCTGAACCTGAGGAGCTGCTGCTGTAACAAATCCACCAAACTCTGTTCAGAGTTCTTCATGTTTTAAAGTTTCCTGCTGGAGATGAACTCTGGTTGTTAATAACGTCTCAGTGTTTTGAACTGATCACAGATCAGCTTCACTCTTCAACTGTCTGGAGCTGATGGTGACGGTTGAAGCTGTGACTCTCAGTCACTTCCTCTCTTCAGGAGATCGAACCCACCCAGCAGAGTTTCAGAGAACAGACGCTCAGGGAGTGAAGGAGGAAACTTTCTCCGTGTTAATAAAATAAAATCTAAATGTTATTTTCCACCTCAGTCAACAGCAACAAACATCGACAGACGCTCAGGCCTCAGCTTCAGTTCTTTATTTTTGTCTTTCATTTGAGAGACTAACCACTTTAACCACTTTCAGTTCTTTGACTCACGGACACAAGCTGTTGTTCTGCAAAGATGAAACTCATGAAGACAGAAGGAGCTCCCAGAGTCACGTGTCCTCTACCCTGCACCACGGTAATAATTATAGATCATTAGACATATTTATTTGTGCTGGTGTTACTGTATCTTCAACACTGGATGATGTTCTGCAGATGTCACATTATGTGAGTTTGGATTTTATTTATCAATAAAGAAATAGAACTTTTACCTGTATTTTATTTGCACAAGAGGTTGATCATGAAAACCACAGTTTTGGTTTATGTCAGTTTAAATTCCTTCAGTTCTCCGTGGATCCCTGCGACTGTTTGGTATTTCATCAAAGTGTCACTAGTTCAGACACCAGAAATCTAAAACTCTTGAACTGCCCGTCATTCTATCACTTTGCAAACACAGGACTTCTCTGTATCTGCCCACAAACATCACCACACTTCCTGTGTGTCTCTCAAGCTCCTCTGAGACAGTTGGTGCTGTTTGTCTTTGTCTCTTTGTCCTTTTCAAGCATTAGATTCATTATATTTACGAATATAAGAAGTTTGAACATTTGGGTTTTTACTTTGGGAGCAGGTGTTGATGAATGGATTGTGAATTATTGAAAATGTTTGAGGCTCTGTTATTGGAACTATACATCTAACTAACTACACACAGAACCAGTAGATGAACTGTGAACATGCTGCACGTCTGAACAGTAAGATTCTCACTGTCTACAGAACAGATCGAGTTCCTCACAGTCACGAGGAGGCAGCGGAGCTCGCGCTTGAGACGAGCCCCGGTGTCACACTGCCCCCTACTGACCGGAAAGAGCAATCACTCCTCTGGGTGTATCATGAGTTCTTCTTTTTCAAATGAATAAAAACAAAACAGAATCATTTCGAAAGGCAACACACACACACACACTCACACACACACACACACACACACACAAATGATTATTAACAGGAAACCTCAACACAACATACATGTGATTACACTTCTGTGGGCGTCGCACCAACGTGACGTCATCCACTGTCTTGAATTTGATCAAAGCCACTCGTACTTTAATACTTTGATCCTCTAAGTAGCTTTATCCTGTGAGGTGAAATAATAACCATGATAATATCCACAATATGTTTATTTCTACATATTTTACATGTAACATATTTTTTCAGCGACTTCCAAACATAGAGTGCAGCTCAAAGTGCTTTACATCGAAATCAAGACATGAAATAAAAGATCCATGAGAA